GTAGATTATCCTTCACTTGAGTTCTTCTTTTTTCGCCGTCGCAAGATTTCATATCGGTTGAATATTTCTTTTAAATGTGAAGTGAAGCAACCTTTACTTCTCCGAAAATCGTCTTCTTTATCTTAGTTTCTTTCTCCTGCATTCACAGTAGCCGCTCAACATATCAAATACAAGCTCTTAGGTAAACTTCTCACAAAAGTAGAAAAAATTCCACGCGCCGCCATCTTTGTTTTGAATTTTCATCTTTTGATCTCGCTCTTCTTTCGCACGTTTCTGTCGCGCGCGTCACGCAAGAGTGACCTGTTCCCCGCGCGAAGAAACTGGTACAAGCCACCTTAAATGTCTATGTTTTTAGCTATAAGCTAATGGGGGACACTAAAGTTTTGAGTTCCGAACAAGTTTTGAGTTCCGAACTTTACAGAAGATGGATGAAGTTTCGTTTTGAACACACGATACAAAGCACCCCACACGCGCGCACTGTCGAGGAGTGAACGTTTGGCATTAGCACCCGCGAGCCATAGCAACTCACACGCGCACATTGGCGAGGGGTGAAATTCCGTGGACTTCCGTCCCACTAGCACCAGGGAAAACCAGTTCTTTCAGCGATAAATGAGAAACGCTTTTAGCTTCAGAGAATACACAAGAGGAATGTCACCCTTGCGGGAAAAAAAGCTTGACACCTATAGAGCTACCAGTAATGCACTCTATTTAGAGCTGAAAGCTACAGCTTCGCCTTCAACCGTAGCACGATTTTTTTCTGCTTGAAACTTGCCAAGAATGAAACAACGTGCTGAGTGTCAAAATGTGAAAGATAGCAGTGTAACGGTGACTATAATATACAAAAGCACAAATATTAACCTGTATAAGGTAGCGCACGACTAAACCTGATTTTAGTGGTCTGCTCAGAGCTTTATTTTCACTTCGATCATTGCCCCGTGTATTGGCGAAATAATGCCGCGTGGGGGTTACCTACACGAACCTTCGAGGGTGGAGATGGTTCCACGCACGTTCGCGCGATATCGCTACGCGCTCCCACACTTGACTATGGATGAAACAACTATGGACAGACTAAGTCTGATTGGAATTTAACTTCATAAATTTCCTCACCTCAGCACAAAGATGGAAATAACACAACAGTATGGTGGTCTCTGACACGGTCACCAGCAGAATTAAACAAACCACAAACAAGAAACCAAACATGTAGTAAATCTGATGCGACCTGGTTGATGCAGAAAAAAAAAAAAAGAAGAACATCAATCATACATTTCAACCATAAAATGAAGCCTCGTTTTGTTGGATTACCCCAAAATTCGGGAAAAAAATTTAACGAATAATTCAAGAAATTTAAACAAAAAAGTGGAGTTTTAGAAGGGTGTGTCTGTATTGTTAAGTGTTCGCAAGAAGTGGTTAAACTTTTCATTACAATAGGCAAGATATAAACTTTTTGAACGACAAAATAAACGTATAGCACAATTAGAAACAGAAAGTTTTGGATTACAATCAGGTACGCATCATCTAACTTCGCCTGATACTCCTGCAAATATATTGATATCTTCTAAGCAAGGCAGTCTACTTAACGAGTTTATAAAATGTAAAAACGCAGTAACAAGTTACACGCAGACGGGAAAAAAAAAGGGGGGAATGGGTTATAGGTGAGACCTCCATAATTCAAACCATAAAAAGACTTACCAAATACTGTTTAGGATAAAAAACAATTGGATAAAAATACAGCCAAACGGAAGAACACCTCCCATGATAATTCCAGGCGCTGCTCTGGTGTAAATACTCTGCAAGGCAACAATATTTTATTTAGAGACAATGTCTTAAATATTTTGAAACAAATCTATTCCACAGAAAGCACTAGAGCACTTTTCATTTTCGTGATGTAAAAGCAAAATCACCGCAATCACAACAGCCAATCAGATGAAAAGAAGTTACCCTGAAGAGTCAATGAACACCTAAGCCTAAAGCGCGGGAAAACGCGGGTAACCACGTCGTGATTGAATTTAGTTTTGGATCTGATTGGTTGAGAGAGTGGCGCGAGTTTTCTGGACCAATCACAGAGCAATGTAGGACAAAATCAATGCAGTTCCGGATTATTTTCGACACTCAATTGAAAACTGCGCTAAAACAGACATTCCCATCTTCATTTAAGTTATGAATTAATCAGCGTCAAATACAAAATGGTTGAGGCAAAGGTAGTATTTGCATCAAAACTGAGCTGTGAAACCACCTGGGCCGGGTTAATCAAAACACGGTTAACCTAGCCCGAGGTTAGTGTAAAGTTTTAATTTAGTTTCACAGCTCTGCAAAGGAATTTTTCTTTGTATTTTTACCATTAGTTTCGACTCATTCATATAAAACCTAACAAAAGTTTAGCTCTTATACACGCTCCTCCACATGAGAAATTAAAGCCCGGGTTAACTGTTAATCCTTGATTAACGTTAACCCCTTTGGAAGAACCTGGACTTGGATTGTAAACCTCCAACTTAGGCGCAATGCATTCTTCAGAGTCCTAATAACACTGTGAAAATTCCACTAACCTGGTCTGGAATCTGACGAGGGATTTGATTGGTTCGAACTGGTTGTTCAATTGGCTAGAGGAAAAAAATGAAACACTTAATCAGCCACATATTACAATGCAATGTGAAACGTTCACAATTACCTTTAAACACAGTAAATATGTCTTATTTGACGTTTTGTTGTGTAGTATCGCTGAGTATTTTACGAGCTGTGCTGTATTTTGACGAGCCTGTAGGGCGAGTCAAAATACAAACAACGAGTAAAAATACTCAGCTATACTACACAAAAAAACGTCTGATAGAGATTCATTATCCAACATTCCAAATTGTAATTTCAGTGAGGGCTAATTTCGGGCTAAAACGCCGAAAGCAAACCAGCGCATACTGGCGAGTCTCATCCAAGGCACAGAAGGAGACAACAATACTCCTAGCCCCGGTTGTTCAAAGGTCGCACAACGCTATTCTCTGCACCAGTCTCTATCCGGTAGATAACGCTATACGTTTTGCTATCACTTATCCACTGGTTAGCGAATTATCCGTTGGATAGCGTTTCCCGCCCTTTATACAACCTTATACTATTCCTATTCCTAAGAGCGACCTGCATCTAATTTCTCCTTACAATATCACCACAGATTCCAACATAAACGTCACGAGAATAAAACGAATGATCACCAACTGAAGGAGCTCTTGATTGTTAAACAAGTTCTCCTTGTCAGCACCGTAGGGAATGTATAGAGAACAGTATGGAGAATATGCATAATGATGTTAGAGTGTAAAGGTCAAGGTGAAAGAAAACCACGTTAGGTTTTAGCCAGGTGGGTTTTCTGGCTTATAAGCTAAATTTACATTTACGAGTATTTTATTATCAGGGGTTTGGTTTATAAAAGTAATTACCTTTTTCTTAAATCCAAGGTAAGCTCCTAAGAATGTCAGTGGGACTGAAATGCCGAACCTAACAAGAAAGAAAGGAAAATTGAACGTTTTGCGCAGGTCTCATTAAAATGCGCAAAGTTAACGGCTGTCAGTGATTCAGGTTCAAACCTACCACATGGCTAATAGGGCAAGTAGAGTCGTAAACGGAACAGCCGCTGATGATCCCTCAGTCCATAGAACAAGATTCAGCAGGAAGAAAATGCCAAACATCAGTCTGAAATTGAAGAAAAAGTCATTGCATTTCAGAATATTAGAGATCTTGGCTATATGATAATGAAAGGACAGTTTTACCAACAGAAATAATGACAATCTATACAACCACAAAAACGATGATAAAGAGACTGACAATAAAAATGTTACTTATAATAGTGATAACGATGATGCTGACGATTATCGTGAACATAATGATATTAATAATAGCACTAGTGATCAAAAGCTTTGTTATTTGCTTCAGACACTTTTCTACTGCAGTAAAAAATTTGACTCAACAAGGAGTAAGAATTATTCTGAGTTGCATATATTCACTGTACATCGTTATCAAAAATTATAGTGAACACCTTTTGCCTTGGTCACACAAGGAAATTTTCCTCCCACAAACTAAAAAAATGCAGAGGTAATTACATCTGACTGTCTTGTTTCAGGCAGTTTACTAAGCTGTACATCAATGCATACTCACCCAGGAAAAAAGAATGCTGATAACAAGACATTGGTCTTCCACAATTCACCTCCAACCACTAAACAGAAAAAAAATGCATGCAAACTGACAACCACCGAGGGATGATATATAAGGTAAATTAAAGGAATAAAAGAAATTTCTATCTCTATATTTAAAAAAGAATAGGCAAATACCTTTCCTAAACAAACAAAATCTAAATTGGTCAAACAAAAGGCATAATTAGATGTACTTTAAATGTTTTTCATCTAACTTTCCCCCCTTGAAAATACCATTAAGTACTTCTTACAAGTAACATGTATCTACACTCACTTTTGTAAATTCTAGCAGAAACATAACCAGCAGGTGAACCAAGACAAACAAACAGCACCTACAAAAAGCAATAGAGAAAATACTTTTACACCTACACCTGTTTTTTATTGACAATATTGTATTACACCAAGTTTCCTTCCTTGTCCTTCAAGGACTTCTGTGACTGCGCTCTCAAACATTTTGGTAAACAAAACTGTCAACTTTTACCACACTTCTTCCAAATGACTTTATTTTTATTTTTCTGCAATGAGGGTAAAATGTCAAATCACATGACTTGCCCTGAGTAGCCCTTGTTGAAGGTTTGGCTCAAAAAGTTACATTAATTTCACAATTCGCTAATAACAGTTACAAAAAATTAGGCAAAGAAAAGTGATACTAATTCTAGCATCTACATGTAACACAGCATTGAACTGTTGCTGATTGGAAACAACTGTAGATTTCCTCTAATTCAACTAAGGCCTTCCATCTACTCTGAAGACTTTTATTAATTCTATTGTTTTGATGAATGTCAGACAGCAACTTACCAATGAACACGTCATCAGAGCTCCACGATTAGCAGGTGAAAGGAACCCAAGACAAGCAAACACTAAAAGGGAGCAAAAGAAGGTATTAACCCTCTAAGAGTGACTAACAATTAAAGAAACTCTTCATTGTTTAACAAATTCTCCTTGTCAGCACCATAGAAAATGTATAGAGAACAGTATGGAGAAGATGCAGACTGATGTATAAGGAAAAAAAATTGAACTGATCCCTGACAAAAGCAAAAATACAACAAAACAAACTCAAAGCAAGGGTAGAGAAAAGTAGTTAGCCAATCGTTAGAGACTAGAATGTTGCATTCTTCGGCAACACACTTCACCCTCTTGAGCCTCTTTCCAGGCAGGAGGATAAAATTTATATACACTGGCTAACGGTTAGGAAAGCCTTATAAAAATGCTGTGGCAGGGGGGCATGCTGTGGGAGGGAGGGGAGGGGGTATCCTGCAATAGAATGGCATCTCATTCAGAGGAAGTACTGTATCAGTGTATTCCAAGTTCCCTCGTGTTAGAGAAAACCAATTTACATGTAGACCCGGTAACGAAAACAAAAATGGACACAATTCTGTCGAGGCCATACAAAAATAATCAATCTCACATTAATCTTTCACACTTACCTAATGTGAAAAACACCATGATAAATATCTGACTTCCACAACCCAACATGATGGACAGTAACATTCCTTTCTTGGGAGGCCGGAAAACATCTCCATGAACCAACTTCCAGCCAAACTCTTCTTGGGCATCCTCCTACAAAGGTGCAATAATTACAATTAATTTCATCTCTCAGTTATAATGCATGACATGATTGGTCAAGTTAGTGGGTTACAGGATATGTAGCTCAGGTGAATGATAAATTGCCAAAATCACAAGTACTTTATCACCAATTATTGCTCCCACCCTTCAGGAGTGAATTCCCAGTAAGTTTAAATCTTGTGTTTTCCTACAATTTTTCAAGACATTTAATGACTGTACAATGATTTTGAATTGATTTGTCTTGTCCTGCATCAAAGATGCACAAGTACTAACCATTCTATGTGACAAGAAATTGTTTTCCCTGCTGGTCTTACACAAAAATAGCTCAGAGATTTAAATACCCTTGGGCATGGCTCGACACTAACTTTTCAACTTACCGGTACTAGCCAAGTACCTGGCAGCAGGCTAGTTACTTCTTAGATGTTACGACAATTTCAGTTTGTTTACTAGCCAAACTGGCTAGTGGAAATCGAAAACCACTAGCCAAAACTGAATTTCTACTGGTCTGTGGCAAGTGGGCTACCGTTAGTGTCGAGCGCTGTTGGGTCATAAACCAGAGAGGTGAAAAACAGTCTGTAACTTGCAGCATAAACCCCAAACGTTGTTAGTAAGAAGCATTTAGACTGTAAAAAGTCAAGTTGAAATGTCTGAAAAATTAGAATTGAGCTTGGTTCTCTGCGAGTCTCATTTTGCACCGAGCTATTTTAATGTTCATAATTTTAGATTTGTACATACCGCTGACTCCATCTGATTGTAACGAGCAATGTCTTTGTGCAGAGTTCGCAGCATAATCATGGCCACCATTCCCGACAAAAACAGCACAATGACCAATGAATTCATGATGCTGACAACAAAAGATCACAAACACTTATTAGATCACATGCTAGAGTGGATCAATACCACCCCAAGGACTGCACTAAACTAAAATACTTGTTGCAAAGACATCACATCTTTCCATTCCTACAAGTGGAAATTACACAGGCAAGCCTATGGTTGAATTCCAAACCCTTTGTTATATAATCTGCTGATAGCTGTGCATACAGTGCATGAGGGTTGCCCTTGGACTCTAAAGGAAGACTTTGGTTGTATGAAGATGATTCCTCTTGCACAATAGATACACTTTGAAGCAGAAAGACCATGGAAGGAAAGAACATTACCTACTGCAGGGGTTTCAATGGGGACCTTAAGCAACCA